TGTGGTGGTTCTAACGGGGCCGAAAATGGGAAAAACACAGTTGTTTTTTTTAATAAAATCAATTTGAAAACACGATTAAGACACATCGTGAGAATGAAAGGGGGACAACTCACCCACGAAAATGTAAACAAAAGAGCATAGCATGATGAAAAAGACGCCGAACTTGACGAAAACAAAATTTTATCGTCTAATGTTCATATTATTATTAAAGAGGAAAGATCAAAATATTTTGGGCGTATTTTTTTACATTTTTTAATCGTTTCTAGCACGTCTGAAATTTTCGTTAAAAATATTGTTTTTTTTTGGGTCCCAAAAACGACAGATAATCATTTTCAATCATTTTTTTCGATTTGATAAAAAAGATTAAAATCTTACATTGATATTCTTTTAAAAATCAATTATCATTTTTTTCAAAACTGATTTTAATAAAAACAGGAATTATACTGTTTATTTAAAATATTTTGAACCAAGCTTAACTTAGCTTCTGCGCTGAAAAAATGTAATTTGATAATAAAACAAAGCAGGTCATAACCTTTCGCGTCGCTTGACGATTGACGAAAGGCACATTCATGACATTTAGATAACTTACGGGAGGAGAATTCTTTCTACGGATGGAAGGAAGTGAAATTATTTAAGTGAACAAATTATTTACCATGTTACTTTTAAGGAAAACTTTCAGCGCTCTAATTTTTTTTTTTTTTTTTTTGTACTTAGCTTTCATTTTTACGTTTACGATGCTTTATGGAAAATATAAAGAAATAAAAAAATAAGACTGTTAATTGTGAGATTAAATTTCATAAGAAAAAGGTATCTAATTATTTTAGGTATCTTTCTTATGAAATTTTATCAGAAGTGTACATAACTAATTTTATGTACATTTATTACATTTTTCTGTGTTATTTGTATTTCCATTCATTTTATTATTAATTTTGATATTTCATTTATGGAAAAATGTCATAACTGAGATTAATATAAAAATAAGTTCATATAAATTAAAGTTTAGCAGTAGTTAAATTTCATAAGATGATACTGTTACTTGTAGGTACCCTTCTCAGTTGAAATTGAAAACTCAAATTAACTTCTCCATACGTGTTTCGCAAAAGTAAAGGGCTTAACAGCGGAGAACAATGCTGAACTCAAATAATGCAACTAAATTGTATTCTGGTTGGTCTTCCGTACTTGATAATTACTGTCCGACTATAAACACAAAAATTACATTTCTTAATTACCATGGCTAATCTGATTGGTCCAAATTATACAATTTTCAAAGCGCTAGACAATCTCACACGGAAATTTTGAAAGGTTGATGTTGCTTTTAACTAATGTTAAAATATTTTTTAAAATTCAATTTAAACATCTTTTAAAAATCTTTTTAAAATTAAAGAAATAAGAAATAATTGTATTAAAAATTCAATTTTTATTGAAAAAATTTTTTGCTTTCAGAAAATATTGTCCATATTCATAAAAACAAATTAAAACAAATAAAAGCATTTGAAACTAAATAATATATTTGTTTTATTGAGTTTTGTATGTTACAATTGACAGCTGATTTTCAGGTACGTTGGCCAAAAAAAAAAAAAAAAAAAACATGATTTGCATTCTTCAAAGCCTTGTGCTTTTTAACTATTGTAATCACTAAAACCGATGGTCTCGAATTTCTAGAGTTTTTCATAAAATTAGTTATGGGGTGTTAATAAATATAAAAAAATATTTCTGCCATGACTTTAATAAAAAAACATATTTATAATAATTTCGATCATCTGTGAATAGTTTCTGAAAGTTTCATTAACATCTGACCATCATTTTTACTTTTGCAAGATTTTCCAAATTATTGTGTGTTGCGACAAAGAGAAACAAGGTTTTTTAAATCAAAATTTAGAATATTCTAAAAAGATGGAAAAAATTTTGAAAAATAATTAAAAAAGAATTTAGTATATCCTCTTCATAAAAACAAGCATTTTGACGATAAAATTTTGTTTTCATAAACTTTGGCGTCTTTTTCATCAGACTATGCTCTATGTTTTAGCGATTCCGTGGAGTGACTTAGGTTAAAAACCCCAGGTTGTTTATGTGTGTGTGTGTGTGTGTGTGTGTGTGTGTGTGTGTGTGTGTGTGTGTGTGTGTGTGTGTTCCTTTATATATGGGATCGGATTTCTTACATTTTTCAGCCGATAAAACAAACATCCATTTTTTTTTTTTTTCGGCAGGTAGTATTTATTGTCTTGCACACTTTTTTTCTTTATTTACATTCAGAATGCTTTAAAATTCCATTTACAAGACAATTGTTTATAATAAAATTCTATTCACCAATCGATAGACCCATAACGATTGTAAACAATGTTTTTGTTTGAATTTGGGTTTGACCAATTCGTAAAAAAAAAAACTAATTAAGACATGCGTGTCCGTCAATCTTAAACAATAATCTTTGTCAATTTTATTTTTCAGTCTTTATGATGGTCGATACTTGATCTATCTCTTACTGTTACATCCCCGGGCAACGCCGGGCTCTACTGCTAGTATATATATATATATATATATATATATATATATATATATATATATATATATATATATGAGAAGTTTGTAAAAAATAGAACGTCATAAACAATACCTTCCACCAAATCCAACCGATAAACAATGATTACGGATGCTTAATCACTGTTACGGCTATTATTTATTAAATGATAAAAAAGCTAAGCAATAAAAAACTTAAAATGGGTTAATTGCTTATTTGAACTGAGTTTTTAAAATCATGAATATGTATTCGTTTTTACTTTGTTCATCATTTTGTTCTTTTGAAACTCTGCCTCTTCAACATTATGTCCATTCGTCGTTTAGTCAGTTCGATACAGTTTCCGTCCGGCACTTTTTCCATTCGGCACTTTGTTGGTTCGATACTTTCACCGTTCGATATTTTGTCAATTCGGTATTTTGTATTTCGACACTTTCTCCTTCGACTCTCTCACCTAGTACCAAAATAACTATTCTCATTTTTCACCTTTCATTTAGTCTTCTAACAATAAGTAATTTGTCTGTTTTGCTGGAAACAATCTCAAAGCAACTTTGCGCAATATTCCATTTCAATAATATGCTATCTGTTTCTCATTCCTTAATATGTCTGGATGTTCTCAAGCTTATCTTGGATTTGCCATCAGTTTTCGCCATATTTTTAGAGGTGGGAGACGATATTCAGGGATTTGTTAATAGTGTCTTTTTTTAAAGTTTAATTTGGTTGTTTTACAAGGAATTTCTGTTTTACTTTATCAAATCTATTTCATAAAAAAAGTAAATACAATTATATTTAATCAATTCTATCTTCATGATTTGCTTTGGCACTATTCACCCCGTTCTTCGGTATCTTTCGAAAAAAAATTCTGCGCTTTTGATGTGAAAATATTTCGATGAATTCTTGAATCTTGTCTTCATTAGGAAATGTTTTTCCTATCAAATCGTTTTGAAGCGATCCATAACGTTAGTCTAAGATTAGGTAAATATAAAGAGGTCGATGTGTAATGTTATTAATTTCGCGCATGATCATTATTTTTTTTTTTTATATTATTTTTTTTATTATTTTGATGACTGTGCAGTATGGTAGGGTCAGTTGGGCACCGTCTGTGAGAAAACGGGCACCATGTCGCAATTCACCCCGCCAATTTTGAAAACGGCATGCTGTACTGCTTAGAATTAACATCGGAAGCTCCAATACGAACATTTCAGAATCTCAATCTGAAGACCGTACATAGAATTCGAAAAGAGTTGGATAAATATAATGTTGATTACGAATATGCTTTGTGTGATCACTAGTGATGGCGAAATAACGCTTCAATTCATCTTCCCACAGGGCCTCAGACTCAATACGAAGACCTAACTCAAGTGCCTTGAGGACGTGGGGTTTCTCTGGGTCAAGAAGTTTGGTGCTGGAAGCCCATATGTATTGCAACAATATTCTGCACCGTGCTACACAAGGAGGAGAATCAATTCCTGCCTGTCAGACAATTTCTGCGACCACATCATCCCTTACATCTGGCTAGTTAACTCCCGAGGTTGAAACCCCCTTGATGATTATGTGTGGGGCGCAGTTGAGCGAGAGACCAAGAAAACTCCTCGTAAATCACTTGAAGACAAGGATTATGACAGAATTCAATTTAAACAAGGAAACCGCTCCTAATATTTTGTCTTTTTATATTGAAAATTATGTTGTGATCGAGGGGGGCATTTTGAATACACTGTATACGATTCCATGGCCGTGGTGCAAAATTTGATGTCTCTTCTGCTTTATTCTTGACACTTATGTATGACTAATGTGATGATACATTAATAATTATATTGACTGACTAAAACAGACTTTATTTAAGACCCTATTGAAATTTTTGAGTATTTTTCAGAGAAAAGAATCTTAAACACTTGTTATAAAAAAGGTTCTAAAACTTACAAGACGCCACCAGGAAGCTAAACCTTTTCACGAAACATCGAAATCTTTGAAGAAATATTCTGAGTTTCATCATTCAGTCTTTTTTTTTTTACTAAGCGAAACAGATTCAAATGTTTACAGCACTCCTTCCTATAAATATAATTTTTGATCGTGTTTTTGTTTTATGATTTTTAAGATAAAAGGCAAGTAGAAATCAATCTGTATTAAAAATTATCAGTTAATCCAAATTGCACCTCGATATTCTTGTCGAGAGTGTTCACAATATTACCTAACGACCGTTGACCTCATAATATAGAACTCCCAACAGATTTTCAGGTGGATTCTCCCTTAAATCATGTTGTTATTTTGGCTCAGAAATGGTTAAATCTTCAAGATCTAATCGTGATTCACTTTATTGTAGCAGTGCTAATATTTATATGACATTAATTTTAGATCGATCATTGAACATACTTTTTGCATTTACTAATGTCAAGCATAGTTCTTATTGATTTTATACAAATGTTCTGATCGATCTGATTGGTAATCAATCAGATTGAATGAAAACATGAAAAAATGCATTAAATACTCTTCAGAGACAGAGACGCGGAAAAAAAAAGAAACGGAAAGAGAAAGGAGGGAAGAAGTGACAAGAGAGAGGAGGGAAGAAGTGACAAGAGAGAGGAGGGAAGAAGTGACACGAGAGAGGAGGGAAGAAGTGACACGAGAGAGGGGGTAAGAACCGACAAGAGAGAGGAGGGAAGAAGTGACAAGAGAGAGGAGGGAAGAAGTGACAAGAGAGAGGTGGGAAGAAGTGACAAGAGAGAGGGGCTAAGAACCAACAAGAGAGAGGAGGGAAGAAGTGACAAGAGAGAGGAGGGAAGAAGTGACAAGAGAGAGGAGGGAAGAAGTGACACGAGAGAGGGGGTAAGAACAAACAAGAGAGAGGAGGGAAGAAGCGAGAAGAGAGAGGAGGGAAGAAGGACAAGAGAGAGGAGGGAAGAAGTGACACGAGAGAGGGGGTAAGAACCAACAAGAGAGAGGAGGGAAGAAGCGAGAAGAGAGAGGAGGGAAGAAGTGACAAGAGAGAGGAGGGGAAGAAGTGGACAAGAGAGAGGAGGGAAGAAGGACATGAGAGAGGAGGAAGAAGTGACACGAGAGAGGGGGTAAGAACCGACAAGAGAGAGGAGGGAAGAAGTGACAAGAGAGAGGAGGAAGAAGGACAAGAGAGAGGGAAGAAGTGACAAGAGAGAGGGCTAAGAACCAACAAGAGAGAGGGAAGGAAGTGACAAGAGAGAGGAGGGAAGAAGTGACAAGAGAGGAGGGAAGAAGTGACACGAGAGAGGGGGTAAGAACCAACAAGAGAGAGGAGGGAAGAAGGAGAAGAGAGAGAGGGGAAGAAGGACAAGAGAGAGGAGGGAAGAACCAACAAGAGAGAGGTGGGAGGAGTGACAAGAGAGAGGAGGGAAAAAGCGGCAAGAGAGAGGAGGGAAGAAGCGACAAGAGAGAGGAGGGAAGAAGTGACACGAGAGAGGGGGTAAGAACCAACAAGAGAGAGGAGGGAAGAACCAACAAGAGAGAGGTGGGAAGAAGTGACAAGAGAGAGGAGGGATGAAGTGACAAGAGAGAGAGGGGGGACGAAGCGGCAAGAGAGATGAGGAGAGAAGTGACAAGAGAGAGGAGGGAAGAAGCGACAAGAGAGAGAGAGAGGAGGGAAGAACAGACAAGAGAGAGGAGGGAAAAAGCGACAAGAGAGAGAGGAGGGGAAAATGACAGAAGTTGTGAAGAAATGGGGATGCAAAAATTTAAGAAAGACAAAGAAAAATCCGAAAAAGGATAATAAAGAAATAAAGAAAGAAAGAAAGAGAAAGAAAAAAAGAAAGAGAAATAAAGAAATTACTTCAAATTTAACGAAAGAGAAAAGTAAGAAAAATGGACAGAGGAAGGAAGGAAAATAAATTCAAACAAAAGAGTCAAATAAAAAATAAAAGAAAGAAAAAAGAGATGGAAAGAAAGTGGAAAAAAAGAGATAAAAAAACACAAAAAAATCAAAAAGAGAAATAAGAGAAGAAGAAAGAAAGCAGGATAGAAAGAAAGATCGAAGTTAAAAAGTGTAAATGAAAAAAGAAAGAAGAAAAGTCAATAAAAAGAAAAAGAAGACGTAATGCATTAGCCAAATGAATGAAAAACAGAAACAAACAAAAAACAAAACGTGACAAAGACAAAATAAACGAAAGAAAGCAGGAATGTAAATAGAAAAATAAGAAAGCAAATCCTACTGGTGTTTGTTAGAGGAAGACAACACAAAATACAACAAATATATTTTCGCAGTCGATAAATCTCTGATAACATAAGAAAATGAAAAAAAAACGTGGTAACCTGAATAGCACTGAGAAATCAAATGCTAATTATGACGCTATCTTCTTTCATATCAACAGCCTGGGAAAAATAGAGAATTATTTGTAAAATGTTATTAAATTTCTCTCTGCAAACAACATTGTCGAAGAAAAACTGATTATATAAAACTAATATGGTAAACATCTCTTTTCTTTAGAATATTTTTGGCCACATAAGATTTTAGAAATACACACACAGACGCGCTAACGTACAACCAGAGGCATTATATAAATGAATATGTGCATGCGTGGTCAGAGAGTGAATTAAATGCATATGCTGTCGAATATTGAATATATATATATATATATATATATATATATATATATATATATATATATATATATATATATATATATATATATGGATTGGATTGATGATGAGTGACTTGAGCTAACGGTCACTGCGATCGTCAGAGAAACAGCAGAGAGCGAGAAACCCCGGATTACAAATTCACATCAAGCCAAGTATATATGTTAGCTCTATCACTGATATGGAGACTTTCCAATAAGCACCATGCATATATAATATATAAATAATATATATAAAATTTATATATATATATATATATATATATATATATATATATATGCATGTATTAGATCAGCCGATTCCGTTAAACTTTCGGTATACAGAAGATAGCAAGCGCTTTGCATTTTAAATATTTTTATACGTATATTTGACACTTTGTAATACTATTTTTTTCTTTTCCTAATCCAAATCTAACAATTAATTTCATTATATATATATATATATATATATATATATATATATATATATATATATATATATATATATAATATATTTTAAATCATATATATATATATATATATGTACATATTAAAATGTAAAATGATACAGATATATATATAATTATATACATATAATTCCTAATATATATATATATATTTATATATAATCATTTTAAATTATATAGATATATATATATATATATACATATTAAATGTAAAATGATACAGATATATATATATATAATTATATACATATAATTTAATATATATATATATATATATATATATATATATATATAATATTTTATATTTAAATATATATATAGATATGGATATATATATATCATTTAATATATATATATATATATAATATTTTATATTTAAATATATATATAGATATGGATATATATATCATTTAAAAAAATATATATATATATATATATATATATATATATATATATATATATATATATATATATATATCTGTGTGTGTGTTTTGTCCGATGGACTTTTTTCAACGCAAAACAATATATATATATATATATATATATATATATATATATATATATATATATATATATATATATATATTCGTGTTATATATATATGGATTAGCATATTCAGCAAAGATTAAATTATTTGCTTTTTATGAGTAAATGAAATATTATGTGGGAATAATTGTGCCACACATGAATAGAAAGTCATACACAAAGAATGAATATATATATATATATATATATATATATATATATATATATATATATATATATATATATATATATATATATATATATATATATATACTGTGTCTATGTGCGTGCATGTGTGTAACTGCTGCATACTACGATAAAATTAAAATTGTTACTTGAGTATGAATCAACACGTGTAATAGAAATGCATCTCTCCCTCTGTGCTTACGGTCATATCTCATTGAATCATCGGTACTCGTAGTTTCATCGAAGGTAAGCAACGTCGCACCTGGTCAATACCTAGTAGAATGACCGCTTGCCTCTACCAGTTGTTGTCAGTTTGAATGTTAGTATAGTTTAGTTTTAATAGTTAAATGTGTCGGAATTTGATCATTAGAAATTAAGTGTAGTATAAGTCCTCCTCCTATATACGGATTGCAATTATATAATGTGAAACATTTGTGTCCATCCGATTCCCGACTTTAAGCAACGTATAGCGTGGTCAGTAACTGGGTGGGTAAATGCTTGGGAATACCTGGTGCTTCCTGCTTGAATATTTTTCTCGTGCAAATGATAATATCTCCGATCAAACAATTCATAAAATGAACAGAGCGTCTTCTCAAATATGGGTATCTACTAAAAATAGCGTTCTTATTGATAAAATGAATTAATGAATTAAAAATGCATTATTTCTTTAGAAATTGTTCTTGTTTACTGAGAAGATATGGACTTTCAAGAATCTGGAGAAGGATTTGCTCGTATAAGGCACTATTCGGCTTGGCTTAATCAGAAGGAAACTTTGCGTCCAGCCGATCTAAAGAACTTCGGATTTATGACGTTTTCTCCATTTGATGGAACTCCAAAGAAACAGAAAATATAGAAAAATACCAGCATCTGGCTAGACATCTGAAGAATCTATGAAACATGATTGTAGGCCTAATTTCTCTAATAATGGACCTAGAAAACTATAAAATCACTTATGGAAAATTTGAACTGAGACTAAGATTGCAGAGCTCGGAAAAAACTGCCATTTACTATGTCAGGTTTCTATAAAATTTCTTCAATTGTCAGGAGATTTTTGACGCCATACTTCAAGAACAGAATTTCACCTGAATACATCAATGTGCAGCAGCAACATAATAATTGTATTATTCGTAATATTAATGTTAAAATATTTCGTTTTAAGAAAGTATGTAGAATGTACGCTTACTGTTGTACATGGACGTCGCGACCGATGTTTGTTTTGCTGAATAAGCATTACAGTCGTGGGCCAAGAACCAATTGACAGAGCATGGCGTTTATTCAGTGATATCGTTCACCACTCGTCAAAGAATGCAATTTCGCAGAAGCATTTACTCGCTATGAGAAAAATCAATGAATTGGCAGCATATCCAGCTTGGTCGGTAGGAAAACATTTAATCAAGTTGTATGTGAGCAACGGCGAATTTGTGTGCACGTATCCGCACACACATGCATGCGTGCACGTCTCTCTCTCTCTCTCTGTGTGTGTGTGTGTGTGTGTGTGTGTGTGTGTGTGTGTGTGTGTGTGTGTGAAACTTGAAGTTCTGGAATTATCTATGACAGACATACAACCAACATCTGTTTTTGTCACAGAAAATGAATCCTTGCACAGGCTGGCAAAATTCCAGGATCCTTTTTCTCTATCTCTCCTTCACCCTCTCTCTCTCTTTCTCTCTCTCTATCTCTCTCATATATATATATATATATATATATATATATATATATATATATATACTAGCACGTATCTCCAGCTTGCTATCTTTTTCGCAAAGTAAGATATATTCAAAAAGTTTAAATGAATATTTTATTAAGAAATTTCATTAAGAATTATAGTGAAGCAAACTTTTCCAAATAGATGCCATCTTGTTGAAGTCTAAGTAAAATGCAAATTTCAGACACTTTTCTGTATACGACTGTATTCATAAACAACTATTTCTGATATGAAAATCAAAACAATCCTTGAATAAATGAACACTAGTGAAGTACAGTTAATGAAATATACATTTTTAAAATCAATATATATATATTTAAAAAATTCACATTAAATAATAATAGAATAAACATAAAAATAAACAAGAAAGAAAATAAAAACATAAATAATAAATAACTAAAATAATAATAATGATGATAATAATAAAACACATTGCTGACATTAAAACTAAAAGTAAGATAATAATGGTTATATAGATAAAATATTAATCATATCAGAATGATAATAAGAATATTAGCATAAATGTTAAATGCATTAGAGTCTAATCTAGAATTTGAATTAGATCCAAATTTACATTTAGTATAGAAATCAGAAAATAAGCATTTTAAATATATGTTAAAAACTGATGCCGCTATTAAAAATACATTAGAATATAAAGGGGGTGACTCCTATTTTTTTCCTTGAGAAAAGAATAGTTATTGGTGAAATTCATGATATTTTCAGTGATAAAACGATAATAAAAAAGATAATAAAGCAATGAATAACTAAGACTAAGATAAATATTTTTGTGGTTTTCTCATATGCTGAAAAAAATAAGGTATGAATTCCTCGCAAGCAACATTCATACAAAAATATTTTGATTTTTGGAACACAAATGAAATGACTTGTGTCTATATGAAATGGAGCATATGTGCAAAACTTTTACGGGAGAATCTAAAATCTACGTCATGTTATTTGCGCACAGCGTAAATATAGCAGCAGACAGGTAGATAAATATCAGAGCAAATACATCTAGTGAAAATTGAACATGACACATATTGTGACTTTTATCAATTGGGTATTTTTGGTAATATAAACTGTGCAAATTGGATTCTGAAAATACGTTTAAAGCGAAAAACAATTTGCAAAACGAATTGTAACAATCAATATCGTTTTTGAGGAGTCAAAAATTTGAGAAAACAGTATTATTTATATCCCGGTCGAAGATATAATGAAGAAGAGTTTATTGATGTAAGTTACACTATTTATACGAACAAATCGGATCACGTGAAGTTAAAAGATTTTCCTTTAAAAGTCCAGATATTTTATTTGTTAATAAATATATTTCCCAATTTTTAATATTGAATTGTAAGAGAGAAATATTTTCTAATGCCTTTCCTGGATGTTAGCGTTGATTTTTTGAGTTATACGTCATAAAAAGGATTATCTGCTTTTTCAAAAATGTGAGCTTCCTTTGAAATACTGTCGCTGCTTGGATTGGTCTGTTTTGTTTTACGGTATGTCAACCTCAATGGGTTATTTAATGCCGACAAAATTTGTATTGCGATTAATATTTTGTTTTGTCAAAAATCTATTTCGGGTAATCATATTTTACCTTCAAAAATGTATTGCTGCTAATATTTTTTTTTCATAAAAGTATTGTTTGTAATATTTTTTTTCAAAATGTATTGATGCCAATAGTTTTTTTTCTTTAAAAAATTATTACTGATAATAATTTTTTTACAAAGAGTTTCTGGTATAAAAAAATCTATTTTTAGACTTTCATAGTGTTTTGACCCAAGATTGGGGTTAACTATTTGCCCATAGCTAGGACCCTAACAGGTGCTACCACCTCGGGTCAGGGTGGACCTGGGAACACCAACAAATAAGAGGTTGTTACACGCTCCTCAAAACCTTCTGATCAGAGACCTAGCTGCAGGACATAGATTATCCGTCCTACCCACGACGCGGATGTAGTTTATCGTCATACTCAGGACGGGCCGCTGGTTGATAAAGAAATACTAATGGGGAAATTTGAATTTGACATTCCTGAGATCCTAATTCTTCGCAGAATTGTGATGTTCGTTATAGTACATAAATCCATTGATTTTTTTCTACAATTTT